AGCAATTAAAAAATATTAAAAAAAGGATTGGGAAACGTTTGGTAAACACTTCTCTAATGTATTATTACTGTATGAAAGTATTTTCTGTGGCCACGAAAATACCCTTTCCTAGAGTTGATATGAACTTACACTGAATATTCGCTGGACGAACAGATTTGAGGGCAATTTAATTCTGATATAAATAATTTTAATTAATCATAATTAATTGTAATTATGTATATACATTTCCCTTTTGAGCTAATTTGCCTCAGAGTTTAGAGCAATAACATTGTAATAATCTCATTAATTGTTGTGTTTTGTCGCTATGCTAAGCTAACCAACTACCTAACCCTGAAGCACCTGTTGCCACCAGCAATTATACTTAATTATAGTTAATTCCAGTCCAGTCTTGTTAGTTAAATGTTTTCTTTTGCTCAAACAATCTGTCATTTGTTGGTTAAAAAGCCATGAACACATTATGAACACATGTTTCTATCAACAGAAAGGCTTTGGATTCACTGCAGAATAAGCCGGAGTGTTACGTTAAGTTGATGAGCATACAGAAGGAGTGACTGCTCTCATTCTCATATTCAGGCAAGTATAAATATATGCATAGATTTGCATGATATAAAATTGTTGTTATTGTTTACCTATTCTTCACTGAATAATATAAAATTGTGGTTAAATGTTTTAGATCATTGTTTTAATATCCCAAATTGTGTCTGTTCATTTACAGGGTGACCTAACTCTCAGGATGAGCCGATCCAGTGGACACTTGAGGTGTGGGGAGGAAGACAGGCTGATGGTTTTCATGTTAGATGCAGTTTTTGGTTATATCAATACTACCTAGCTCTGTCAGGTTAAAACCTCATCTTGTTCTGTTAAGTTTTTATATATATATATTTTATACCTCCTGGGGTCGAAACTGTGTATGGTGCAGCAAATGCAGTTCATGTTGGTAATGGAGATTGAATTGTATTACAGAACAGCAGACACTTAAAGTAGCATTCAGTCATACTTTATTTTTTTCTATTTTCAGTAGACCAAATATCACCATGTTATACATTTTTTGTTGATTAATGGCACTTTTTTATGAGGCTTTACTGCACCTTTAAAAACTTGTGTCCAGACTTTAGTAGGTCATGTGAATGTGATTGATTCACTTTTATTAATGTTGGAAAAATAAAGAATTTAATTGTATTTTAGTTGTGTGACTTGTGATAAAGGTATTGTTCTGCCACCCCAATGCACCTTGCATATGTTGACAGACAGATAACTCCTCTGCCAATCACCACGCTGAAGCAGATAACCAGTTTACTTTGTTTAATGGATTACTAGGAGTAGGGTAAAACTGAAAGGAGAACATGAGACATAAACGTATGAATTTAAGTATACAAAAGAAAGAATTCAGCATGCATTGCCAGTATACAATGGACACATATGAAATTACAGTGCATACATTGATGTGAAATAAACCGATGTCTCAAACTGTATACTGATCACTGTATACTGATTATACGAAAAATTAATAATAATGACTTTCAATATAGTCAAAATTTGTGTACATGGTAGTGTACACACGGTAAATGTACAATACACATACCAGTATGAAGATTCAAATTAAATCTTACACTAAACACAAATTACAATCAAATATTGTTAAATCATATCTTAACATAAATTTACATACCAACGATGTCTCCCGAAAGACAAGAAATGTAGCAGATGGTTGGGATGCAACCGCAATAAAGAACCGCTATCTACCATGCAGCAGACCATGGCTGGACTAACATTGATTACATCATCAAGTTGCAGCTGTTCTTAAAGGAGCCAGCACATTTTTATTCTAATATCACATATGATAACACAAGTATAGACCAGAGTTTCTCAACTCTGGCGTTCGAGATCTATATCCCTGCAGAGTTGAGCAACCTGTAACTTTCTAGTAATCCTAAATACCTTGATGAGATTGTTCAGGTGTGTTTGATTAGGGTTAGAGCTAAACTCTGCAGGAAAGTAGACCTCGAGGGCCAGAGTTGAGAACCCCTGGTACAGACAAAATGAATACAGTTTATGTGGTTATATTAATCAAAAATAATTTAGCAATGTTTACATAATCATAGGGAATAATATATATTCATAAAACATAAATGGGACATCTCAAACAAAACATATATAATAAAATCTAGAGCTCCTGTCTATAAAATAATAAATAAACTTTACTTAAAGACTTCAAATAAACACAACTTTTAAATTAAATATAATTAAGTAATATTTACTTAATTAGGGTGCAATTAGATTGAATTTCTTCCTGAATGTTAAGTTTAATAGTAAGTAGATTTTACTTAATAATAGAGAGTAAGTTGTACTTGATATTAGAGCATTAAAATTTACTTAAAATGTGTTTGTGCAATTTGTTCCGAGGATTTTTTAAAGTAAATCTTACAAGTTATCTTTTTTTCAGTGTGCGGCAAAGCATTTTTGAGGGCTTCAGACTTTTCTCCATGACGCTTTTAATTGCCTAATAAACTATATTTTACTGCACACATGACTGAGGTTGAATGAGATGGCTGTTTGTCTGTTAGTAACCATTATTTTTGTTTGATGTGTTGTTTTATAGATGTTTTGTTATGTTAAATATAATTTTTTGATGATCTGCCATTGAAGATGTCATCACTAGCAGGTGTTAATTTAGTCAGCGTCGAGTCTTCTGATGTGAAGCCAACAGTTCACAGTATTTCACATATTTACACAAGCATCAAACACATTTTACACGGTTTAAGCAGCATTTTACAGGCTCTTTTCTGTGTTGTTTTCATCGGGCTCAGCACTACTTGTGCGTCTTTTCTGGTGTTTTCCTACTGAAATAAATGTTTAGTGCAGCAGCAGTGATCATGTGAGGAAAATATGTTGAATTTATTTAGACCTGCGTGATATTTATTTATTTATTTTTGCTTTTGTGTGTTCATTTGTTTGTTATATAAAGTGAAAAGTCAAAAGGTGTTTTCTGCTCTGTCCTAAAAGGCTTACTTCAGATGTGCTTACTTCTTGAGGACTTCAGAATTTTATTAAATGTTTATGCTAAGCACTGTAACAAGATGGATATGCAGAAGTAGTTATTTATAGGATATCCACAGTGTTGGTGGTAACGAAGTCCCTTCAGCTAACAAGTTTTGTTCCCAGAACGTTAGTTTTTGGTTCCCGATGTGTTATTTTTTATGGTATGTGTTTGGTTGGCCAGGAAAGTCTTCTTAATGGAAGTAAAACTTTAGTTTTTGGTTTGTATATTGTTATTTTAAATACAATTTATTGTAATTTAAGGTTCCCATAACACAGGTATGACATTTCCTTAACCTCTTTACTCCGATGTGATCATCCTGCTGTATGTCAGTAATCATCCTGCACACCCATGACCCAGTATACCCTGCTGAAAAAAAACAAAACAATAGCAACCACAGAAATTCTAATGGTTTCCGCTACAAATACCATTACAAACATTACAAACCATCATCATTTTGGGACACATTCCATTAGGATAACCCACAGGCACCATTACAGTTTCCATTAAAACCAATACAAGTTCCATTATAACCAGTAAAACCATTACTAATTTTAAGATGGTGCCTATATATTTTATTTATTTTCTTTTACAGCAGGGTAGTAGGCTACAAGCAGCATGTAACATGATCTGTCTGGATGCCTAATCATTATTATTTAAAAAAAACATATATTGTTTTATCTATTGTTTAATTAATTAAAATACTCTGAACACATTAACAATCATATGTAAGATTAAATAGGATTAACTCTGTCCATTAATGTATGATTATGGTACCCAGATTTATTCATCACCAAATAAAAATGACTTTAACACAATAAAGTTATGGCTCTGAATTGGGTCTCACAGCTTCTTGTAAAATTGGAGTGGATATAAAGCAATATCCTCTTTAGTTATTCTCTTCACCACAGAATCTGCTGTTAGACACTGCAAAATGCAATCAATTTCAATATCAAGTTTAATCCTCAAAAGCAGCTTTTCAGAAACATCTTCACAATCTTATTTTGTGGATATGGAATTCACATTATCGTTCAACTGTTTAAGTTTCAGATATTTAGATGGACACATAACCCATGGTTGTCTTTCATGCTAATGCTGTTTATTATTTTGGATTTAGATCGTTTTATTTTCATATTTCAAATAGTTGACTAATAAATTAGCGCGTTTTTCTCTATTAATCTTCACTCACAAAGACTGTTGATAATGATCAAATACCACGTGAGTCTATAATTTTAATTTATTTGTGCAGATCGGCTTTTTTTAAAGGAAAACAAATCCTCGCACCTTTAATTTTCCCCGTATTATTCCCTCTTCACACTCCAGTCCAGCGAGTGGCGCTAAATGCGTTTGTTTGCCAAACACCATTAAACCTCAGAGGAAGAAGTTTAGTTTCACCGTGCTCTCTGTTGTTTTGTAGTGATGCTGGCTTAATACAAACTGTTAGAAATGTTGTTTCTGTAAGTATAAAAATACTGTTTTTGAATCAGGTCAATAAATACCTGTAATATTCTCATCCTCACAGTCGTGACTAAGTTATGAAGCAAGCAGGTATATCTGGAGGAGTATCAGCTAAACTGAGATCTGCTGCTGTGAAGATGGTGTTTGTTAAAGAGGAGAGTGAAACCCATGGTTGTCTTTCATGCTAATGCTGTTTATTATTTTGGATTTAGATCGTTTTATTTTCATATTTCAAATAGTTGACTAATAAATTAGCGCGTTTTTCTCTATTAATCTTCACTCACAAAGACTGTTGATAATGATCAAATACCACGTGAGTCTATAATTTTAATTTATTTGTGCAGATCGGCTTTTTTAAAGGAAAACAAATCCTCGCACCTTTAATTTTCCCCGTATTATTCCCTCTTCACACTCCAGTCCAGCGAGTGGCGCTAAATGCGTTTGTTTGCCAAACACCATTAAACCTCAGAGGAAGAAGTTTAGCTTCACCGTGCTCTCTGTTGTTTTGTAGTGGTGCTGGCTTAATACAAACTGTTAGAAATGTTGTTTCTGTAAGTATAAAAATACAGTTTTTGAATCAGGTCATTATCATCTTTATAGTCGTGACTAAGTTTTCAAGCAAGCAGTGATATCTGGAGGAGTATCATCTTAACTGAGATCTGCTGCTGTGAAGATGGTGTTTGTTAAAGAGGAGAGTGAGGAGGACACGAGTGAACCAGAACCCCGGAGAATAAAACACGAAGAACCAGAACCCTGCAGAATAAAACACGAGGAACCAGAAACCTGGAGAATAAAACACGAGAAACCAGAACCCCGTAGAATAAAACTCAAGGAACAAGGAGGTTGGTCTTTATTCTTCATTCATCTTTAATGACTGTTTGTGGCACATTTAGCGTACAAAGCTTTAACCCTCTGGGGTCTGACCCCGCATCGCATTCTTCTGAGGTAAATTCTTATTGAAGCATATGGGTAGCAAAATTCATTTTGAAATGTAATATGCAAAATGGTAATGTATTTCTGTATTTAAATTTAAAATTTCCCATGCATATGTGCAAAATGAAAATTAAATTATATAATTTACATTTGCTATTATCTACAATAGTTTTATTATGTAAATTAAAAACACATTTTAACGCTTTATAAGTTGTAAAATTAAAATGAAATTTTATTACCCAAATTAATTTGATATTTTTAACATGTACAAGCAAAAACTGTAGCAAAATTTTAATTTAAATGCCATTTTTTTCTAAATGCATTTAGACTTAGGGGTAGGACACTTGGGATTGCATTTTCATCATGTAACGCAGTGTTACAATGTGCCCCATCTGCGCAACTGGAATTTAAAACTGGTTAGTGTCTTCTGCTAGTAATCAAAGCATTAAAAAAACTATCTGAACTGATAAATAACAGATTGGAGATTAAAATAATAGCAGATTTGTCTAATTTTAAATGAATAATAAAAACTGAGATAAAAAAATTTACTTAAGCCAGAATTTAAATGTTACTATGGTAAAATAAATATTCAAACCACGTGTGTTACAACTAACACCCCGTTACTTTGTGCATCGCACTCCCCTATATTATGGCACGCGTCACACTTCTCTAGTAAGTTTTGTCTGTGTGTGAAGACAGTAGCGCAAATCCGTGAATGAATGTTCTGAAGTGAAATAAACTTCAACGGAATAAAGTTGAATTGAACTTTACTGTTCAGTTCACTGATGTCAGACTCATTTTGGATGGTAAAGTTTATTGTTAAATTGTTAAATGCCCTTACATATCTCTGTCACCATTATAAGTGTTTGATCACCACATTTGAGAGATCATTGCAAAAAATGTGTTTATGGATATATTCTGTTTATGTATAAACTGTATTCTATATATAGTACCAGTCAAATTTTTGGACACACGAATGGGAAAGTGTCCAAACATTTGACTGGTACTGTACTACAATACGCACCAAGAATATTGGCCTATATATCGGTATCTGCCTTTTTTTACCCCCTAATATCGGTATCATATCGGCCCCAAAAAAACCATATCGGTCGGGCTCAAATTGCCATATCAATTTGAGCCGGATTCAGACCCCTAGAATATTGAACAAGAGGATCGCGCAGAACCTTTGCACGCACGCATATTGTAAGACATATTATAACATGATTTGCAGTGAAACTGTTATACAGTCTTTTTTTTTATTTATTTTTTTATTTAGTTTACAGAATTTATTTATACCATAGTCCAGTGTTTCCCACAGACTTGCAATCTATTTGTGGTGGCAAACTCATTCTCTGCCAGCAGGAGGCACTGTTGGAGTGGTAGAGATCCAGGTTTCCCCGGTAACGGCTGTACACAAAGCAGCGCTCAGCTCACAAACGCTGCTTTATCAGACATTACATGCAAGATTAAATGAAAATGACATCCAATTTTCTGAAGACAGCTGGTTTCCTTCAGAAATACAGTGATATAAAAACACCCACACTCAGTTTATGGGAAACACTGTAGTCTCATAATTGAAGTGTAAATTCTGCAGATTCATTGTCCAGTATTGTACTGTCAGCAATTTATTATAAAAACGTTTTCATAATTGTAACATACATATTTACATATGTAATTATTCAGGTGCATGTGTATGCTAAAACCTTAGTAAAAAAAAAAAGCAGACAGGCTGAATTTCGCTCTCTGGCAGCAGGTGGCGCTTATGGAACGGAGGGAGAAATGCCATCAAAAGTCAGTTCCCTTCAGAAATACATTCATACCCCAATATTTCAATTTTTTCTTCTAATAAACAGTGAGTTTGCTTTGCCTATCAGCTTTTATTTTGGTGGAAACTGCAGCTGAGCTTTTATTTTGGCTTCCAAAACACCAACTTCTGTGAAAACAGGCTTACAATGAGATGTGGGAAACACCGGCTCACGAGCTGATTGCGTGAAAAAAGTGCGCGCTTGGCTTTGAAACAAGCAGCTCAAACAGACTTGATGAGGGGATAAAGCCATACGCTTTATTTCGTTTGACTGAGACTTACCAAAAGCAATGGCACGAAACACGTTAAAGACATGTTATGATGTAATGAGGAGTATCATCAATATATTTTCGGTTTATTGTGAAACCGTGGCGGCACAGATTAGACTGTGGTGGGCCGCCACAGACTAGTTAATGAATGGGAAACACTGCGCACTGATTCATCACACATTAAAGAACATCAGATCGGAATATTTCAAGAGTGATTTCTATGAAAAAGGAAGTCCACTGTCAAGCACTATTGGATTAACAGCCCAATGGGAATACAGGGAGAAAGAGAAGTCCAAAAAAGCGTGGACAGAAATACAACAGCCCGGTGAGAGCATGGAATATTCCATCCTTCACAAGCAATCCCTATTGACCCATATTTCATCAGAATACATTATTATTACCGAGTACTGGCACAAGCCCGCGGCACTCACCAGCCGAACAAAGTGCTCGGTGACTTTGAGGTCTGGGATCTTCAAATAAACCCCAGCTGGGAACCATGGGGACAGGGAAGTGGAATTAACTGCTATATTAGCTGACCTTCATCCTGTTGTTTCTCCAAACTTGCCTGGTGGGGGCCCCTCACTTCACCGTAACCAGGGTCTCCCAACTCAACAATGTGGGCATCTCCCTTCGCGGCGGTACATAGGACTGTCAGGTTTGCTGTGCAAACAAGACCCAGTTCTGCCAAAGGATTTCGCTCCGACATTCCTACATAATTCTTTCAGCTTTTCTCACTCGGCTTTCTTCACCTCTGCCAGCGCTTCTGGATGATGGAAGAAATGCAACTCGAGATGAAGCCTGGGTTGTTGCTATATGTACAAACCCAATTCCAAAAAAGTTGGGACACTGTACAAATTGTGAGTAAAAAAGGAATGGAATAATTTACAAATCTCATAAACTTATATTTTATTCACAATAGAATATAGATAACATATCAAATGTTAAAAGTGAGACATTTTGAAATGTCATGCCAAATATTGGCTCATTTTGGATTTCATGAGAGCTACACATTCCAAAAAAGTTGGGACAGATAGCAATAAGAGGCCGGAAAATTTAAATGTACATATAAGGATCAGCTGGAGGACCAATTTGCAACTTATTAGGTCAATTGGCAACATGATTGGGTATAAAAAGAGCCTCTCAGGGTGGCAGTGTCTTTCAGAAGTCAAGATGGGCAGAGGATCACCAATTCACCCAATGCTGCTGCGAAAAATAGTGGAGCAATATCAAAAAGAAGTTTCTCAGAGAAAAATTGCAAAGAGTTTGAAGTTATCATCATCTACAGTGCATAATATCATCCAAAGATTCAGAGAATCTGGAACAATCTCTGTGCGTAAGGGTCAAGGCCGGAAAACCATACTGGATGCCCGTGATCTTCGGGCCCTTAGACGGCACTGCATCACATACAGGAATGCTACTGTAATGGAAATCACAACATGGGCTCAGGAATACTTCCAGAAAACATTGTCGGTAAACACAATCCACTGTGCCATTCGCCGTTACCGGGTAAAACTCTATAGGTCAAAAAGAAGCCATATCTAAACATGATCCAGAAGCACAGGCGTTTTCTCTGGGCCAAGGCTAATTTAAAATGGACTGTGGCAAAGTGGAAAACTGTTCTGTGGTCAGACGAATCAAAATTTGAAGTTCGTTTTGGAAAACTGGGACGCCATGTCATCCGGAATAAAGAGGACAAGGACAACCCAAGTTGTTATCAGCACTCAGTTCAGAAGCCTGCATCTCTGATGGTACGGGGTTGCATGAGTGCGTGTGGCATGGACAAACATTTGATATGTCATCTGTTGTATTCTGAATAAAATATTGAAATTTGAAACTTCCACATCATTGCATTCTGTTTTTATTCACAATTTGTACAGTGTCCCAACTTTTTTGGAATCGGGTTTGTATATTTACAATAAGATGAAATATGATATTAAAGTTGGCATGAAACAGAAGTAGCAATTGTCTTTTTTTTCTCTACTGTGACATCTATCTGAGTGAAACAGCATCTGAAATGAGAGGGCGGGGCTTGATTTCGCCCTTCGGGAATTGATTGGAAGTTGGGGCGTTGCTAACAAAATGGAGGCAGATCTGAATGCAAGTTTGCAGTTAGTTGTGGGGGGATTTCGCTCCACTGGATTCACCGCCGACACCCTAACATGAAGAATTTTTTTATTTATTGAGGATGACAAGGACGATCAATGGCACAAAACATGCCTAACAGTGTGCATGAGAGACTGCCTGAATGACTGAGCGCGTCCTCCATCAAGTTGTCATATTCATTAAAAAAAATGTGTTTGCAATGTCCTAAGACTAATGTTGTGGTAATATCCTAATATCCTTAAAATTTTTAAGGGTAGTGTACTGTTCCCATGGCTCGCATCAGCACTGGTCGCGTTGATTTCTATAAAGTGAAGCATCAGCTTCAGCTTTTCCCCCTGTCATTTATCCCAGCGTTTACACCTCACGTCACTAGCTCCACCCTCAAGTCATAGCTCGTGACTGGAAGAGAGGATGAGTCGTTTTGAGGGGGAGGGGAGGTTAATGTTTTTGATTAAAGATTACGAGGGCACATGAATTTTAAAAAAAGAATGAAGTGCACGGATAAAGTATTTATAATAAACACTACAGTATTCCATTAAAAAAATAAGAATTTTCAATTTTGATTTCATGCCAAATTTAAACACCACTGCCTCTTTTCGTTTTCATTTAAACACATTAATAGCCACAAAAAATTTAGTTCAGGGAAAGTATACACTAGGGATGTCAATGATTTATCAATGATCGATTAATTGTTGATAAGAGATGCAATCAATTAAAGCTATCGATGGTCGAT